TAAAAAATATGTTGGACCCTTACACTTTTCTTTCAGATTGGCCTTACTAGGTAGCATTATATAATATTATGTTTACAAATATAAAAATAGGTAAAAAAAAAATATAACTGGTAGTTTTCAAATTAATATTTTTTTACCAACTTTTATGATATAATTAAATAATTAGGTACTTAACTAAAMTTTTACTTYGATTTAATTAATGATTRGCTTGAAAGATACAATTTGCTTGATATATTATAATTATAAWATGTTTTTTTAACAGTTCCGAAAGGCCAACATTAGCGTTACAAATCAAACATTGATGACCAATGGTGGCGACAATTCTTCAGTCGATAGTCTGAATAGTGCGGATTCTGCAAAACGTGACAGTGAAGAATCAGTAATTGAACTTTCTGAGTTTCATCAGCCAATAATCTCCAAGGATGATTCTGATGGACCTGTCAACATGAGCAATGGTGATGGAAAATCTGGTGGTGCTGGAGGCAAACCTTCCAATGGCATTGTTAAGGAACACCCAGTTGATGATGATATTGACAAAACTAGTTGTGGCATGGAGTGTTTATACTTTACGATGCAATGCTGCGAATGTTCAATAATGTAAGGAAGCTATTTCATCTCCTACAGTTTATTATTGTTAGTTATAATTGAGTAACTATAATTATATATTACAATACAATTATTAAATTAAAAATACAGAAAATTACATTACTTCTGACATTTCAAAGTTCTATGGAATCTGTGATTTTTATGGGAACTACTTAATTAATCTATGTAATATAAAGATTCCATCATATTAAAATTAAAATTATTTTTTGAAAAGTTACTATATCTACTAGTATTATTGCGTTTAAGTTCCATTYTGTGGAYAATTTTTTCTTGTTATTTCCAATAGGAAATCCATAATTATTTTCTACAGTTCTTGATAATTTGATATTACTTACATGATTCATTTTGGTTATTCATTATATTGTGTTAAAACTTTTTATCTTTAAGAAGTACTATATATCTTAATTAACAATTGTGCCATTTTTTTTTTTGTACTTTATTATATTTAATATACTTTGGAGATCATCACATCTTCCTGTTAGTTTGTGTTGAAAGCACTGTGTCCACCATGTATATAAAAAGTCTTAGCATGATACAAATCAATACTTAATTTAATTTTGCTCCCACTTGTTGAGCT